AGTTACCCAGGCAATACAAAAGGATTGCCCAGGCATGCGGGGGTGGAGTTCAGAGGCCAAAGCTCAGTTGGCGTTGAAATTGGCAAAGGATAGGAATACCACCAAGGAAAGTGTCCATAATTACTTTCGCAACAAAAGAAAGATGAAGGAAAATGTGGGCACACTCTTTGACAAGGTAGGGGACGTACTTAAGAACAGCATGGAAAAAGCCAAGCTGCTCAGCGCCTTTTTTGTCTCAGTTTTTACTTGGCAAGGTCTGCTCATGGGCCTCTGAGGTTCTCTGAGCCTAATGTCCCTAACCGACAGAGGAAGACAGAGTTGGGGACTGCAGAAGCAAACTGGACAAAGACTGCTCCATGGGACCGGATGGGGTGCATCTGAGGGTGCTGAAGGAGCTGGTCGACATTATTGCAAGGCCACTGACTGTTTTTCATCTTTGCCAGGTTGTGGTTATTAGAGGAGATTTCCAGATGACTGGAAAAAGGCAAATGTCACATCTTCTTGCAGGAATGAGGATCCAGAGCATGACAGGCTGGTCAACCTAACATCAGTTTCCAGGAAAATTACAGAGCAAATCCTCTGGCTGTTTCCAGGTGCGTGAAAGACAAGATGGTGATTGGGAACAGCCAGTTTGGATTTACCAAGGGCAAATTATGTACCTCAGTCAGCCTGATTGCTTTCTCTGAGAGAGCTGGCTTGGTGGATGAGGGAAGAGCAGTGGATGTCATTTACCTTGACTTTAGCAAAGCCTTTGACATGGTCTCACTTAGCATTCCTGTAGTGAAAGTGGGGAGGTACAGGCTGGATGGGAAGACCACAAGGTTGGTGGAAAACTGAGCAGCTGGGCTCAGAGAATAGTGGTTAGCAGACTGACATCCAGTGGGTGGCCAAATTGTGGGTGGTGTTTCTCAGGGGCTGGTACTGGGGCCAATACTGCTTTATGTTTTGCATTAACAACGTGGCCGAGGGGTGGAGTGCATTCTCAGCAGGTCTGCGGATAATAACACGTTGCGGGCAGCCTTCAACACACTGGGCAGTTGAACTGCCACTCGGAGGGATCTTGGCAGGCTGAAAAGATGGACTGACAGAAAACTGATGAAGTTTAATAAAAATTAAAGCCTGCAGCCTGTGACAGAGTAACCCCATGCATCAGTAAAGGCTGGGGAGCAACAGGATCAAAAGCTGTGTTAAGGAAAAGGACATGGGGGGTCCTAAGGGACAACAAGTTGAACGTGAGTCAGCATTGTGGTCTGCTGGCAAAGACGGACAACTTCATCCTGGGCTGTGTTAGCAAGAACCTGTAGGTTTATGGAAGTGATCCTTCCTCTCTTATTTGGCACTTGTGAGACCACACCTGGAGTGCTGCTGAACACTGGAACAGGGGCTCAGAGCGGCTCTGGAATCTCCCATCTTTGGAAATTTTCACAACTCAGCAGGACCAGGTCCTGAGCAACCTGATGTAACATCAACATTGACCTTGCTTGGAGCAGGGGATTGGCCTAGAGGCCTCCAGAGGTCCCTTCTGGCCAACATAACTGTGATTTCACGTACTTTATTCCTTATGCAAGCTGCATATTTGAGGCCCCATTCTGCCACTGGAGGCATCAAGGTAAAAACAAGGTAAAAATGATCAAGATTAAAAAAAAAAAGAAGTATGACTCTGATTCTAGCTACTCTTCCTATTTGGTTGTATTTGCCAAACACTTTGTAGTGCCCAAGGACTGGGAGTTTTACTACTGACTTGAGTAGTAAGACTGATGCAGAGTTTTCACAAAAGCTCACCATGAGGAAGGAGGTTATCTCTGGGCTGAGAGACTCCTCGGTGGCAGAATGACAGTGTTTCAACTCTGATTTGAAGAACCTCCTCTTACTAAAGAAGTACAGTGGATCCCTGCGTACTTCATGTTTGAGTTTGTGTTGTGCAAGTGTGTGTGATAGGAGTATAAAAGAAACATTGGAGGTTGCATGCAGTTCGTTGGTTTTGCGTGCAGTATGTTATATTTGTGGCAAACTGAAAACGTGGCTGTATTTATGTAAGGTTTACTTGATGTTAGGCTGAATAGAAGCATCACAAATCGAATGAAAGTACTGTAAGCAAAAAAACCCCAAACCCTGTTGACTCAGTGTTTGCTCTGTGAAATGGTTTATTCAGTTAACTGAAGGTCTGAAGGCCATTCTGGGTAATTGGACGTTATCTAAAATAATACGGTTAGCTAAAAAGTAGTATTAGAAAGGGCCTAGAATACCAAAACTGCCCCCTCCACATACACACTTAAAAACCTAACCTAAAACCTAACAAAGCCAAAGAACTGGGAGGAAGAAAAGGAAAAATCTATTAACTAGTTTGTAGTGGGACTCCTTACTTTATAGTTAAAATGCCACCTGGGAACTATATACAAAGACTATTCTAAAAGTATGAGAAATACAGATTTATGTGAACTTATATATGTTATGTTTTGTTAAAAAACATATTTTTCACAGTTTTTTATTATAAGCAGAACTCAAAATGAGAACACACAAAATTTGGAGGCATCTATGCCTGGAAACATCTATGCACCAAGTTGCAATTAATATTAACAATCCTCAAAAGTCCACCAGAGAAAGCAGTGTATCTAACTGAAGAATTAAATTAATGTAGCTACTCTGTGAAGTACAAATGATTCCTTTTCTCATTCCTGAGCTATACATGTATCTAAAGACTGCTATCGTCTTCCCAGACTGCTTTTTCTTCCTCAGGTTAAACTTTAGCCTTTTGAATCTTTCCTCATAAGCCATACTTTCCCCTACTCCAGTTACTATCATTGCTTCTCTTAGACTCTGCTTAGTGGCCCACATCTTCAGGATAAGACATGGAAGGTCCTGTCCAAAACTGGGAGACATGCTTCAGCTGAAACAGTGCCAGTGCCAAGTGAAGTGGAAGGATTAAATCGTCCACTGCTTAGACCATCCTGCTTCCGGTACCCTCCAGTTTGCAGGAACTCTCTGGGAGAGGGATTCTCTGGATTCACACACAGCAAACAGAGTCAAGAATCTGGAATTATTTAATGTGCCTTGAAATTAAAAAGGAATTGTGTAACACTGCCTTGCTATAACTTGGTGTCCTTTTCAGTGTATTACTTGGTGTGGAGTGAGTGCCATCTGGAGGTCAGGAAACGAGGAGCTCTGTATGCTTTCATGCTGAAAAACAAAATCCCCATATTTTATAAATGAAATGTTCTTACATGAATAGGAGCTTGAGCCTGACAGATACTGGACATCTGCCACTCAGTATAGAGTTTGTGACCCATAGCAAGAGTTGAGACTGCTCAGTATGTCTCACAGTAAGGCATGCAAGCGTAATGACTTTTCAGTATTATGCAATCACCAATAAATATGTAGCCTCTGAGTGGCTTGTGCAGTTTTTGGAAGAAGCTGTGGACAGCACAGAAAAGGAACGGCTTGACCTGCTTTCTCCTCTCCATCTTTCAGATATTTGAAGACAAACCAGTTCCTGGTGCAGTTTTCTGCTCACAGGAGAGAACAGAAAGCATGTTAGCTGAACAAGATGATGACTTTTTTAGAGAGTAGGTTCCCATTTGGTGTGTCTGAACACAGTTGTCCACCACAATTGATGTCTGCACAAAGTGGAATCAGTCCTTCTCACCTAGGCTGGTTGCATGATGTGGTCTTCCTTCTTCTCTAGGTAGCTTAGCTGTCATCTTGAAAGCCTTAATCCTCCAGTTCTCGCTGCATCGAGGAAGCCAGGAGAACTGCTTGGTGCCATGACTTCAGTGAGTGGGATTTGGCTCTTCTTTTTACAGTGTCTTTTGGTTTTTTTTCCAGAGACCACTTAGATGTTGATAGTGACCACACTGTTCCATACTGCCTCTTGTGCTTTTGAACTGCCTTCTGCTGCTGAAGTCTAATCATAAAAACAAATAGCCTTAGTTGCAAAGCATAAGTATACACATCTCCACCTCAATCTGGTGAGAGATTGCAGCCTGTTGTGTCAAGGCAATGCTAATGCCTTCTATGTTGATCTCCACCTAGGACTGAGCATGGTCCTACAGAAGCTACATACGGTTCAAAAGGGAGATACTGTATGTACACTCTCCATGCTCTGCTGATTACTGCTTTTTTCAGAACAACAGGTCATAAACAGAGTTTGCGTCTATGTAATGAAGAGGTACTAGTGAACAGGCTTTAGGTGTTGTGTCTATTTAGCTTGATGATGGTTTCCCTGGGCAACCACAGATTTTAGGAAAAATGAACCTCTTAAATTCAAGGTTGATGATGCTACGAGTGTAAGAAAGGTTGCTGAGCCAACACACCCTCTGAGCAAAATGTGAAAGCCTGCTTCCTTGTCAATGAGTTTCCATCAGCTAAACCAGAAAAAAAGAGTAAGAAAAAGGAATTTGCGAGCAGCAAATCTAAAGAAAAAAAAAAGAAAACTAGTGTGAAAAAAATTTGGTCTCCCTCCCTCAGCAGCGAGGGGTGAAAAAGCACAGAACATGCCACATGCCTTAAATTTTATTCTTTAGAGCAAGTTTAAACATGCAGATGACGGAGGCTGATGAATCCTTGACTACTAACTACATGAAATGCAACAAGATGCTGCGTTTTATTACGCTGACTTTCAGAACTGAAACTATGTTGTTTATGTTGGGACTCATCTGAGCGGGTCTCCATTGATTGTTGATTTTCAGGAGATAAAAATTCAGGAAGAAATTGCCTTTTGGCTGTAACCTTGTTCTTTCTGATGTTAGTGGCAACCTTACTGTAGACTTGTATGGGAAGATGGATGAGATCTGTAGTGCTAACTCTCTGTCATCCCAAATATGAAGAGGATTGTCTCCTATGGCATTATTGGACAACATCCATCTTCGGTCTTGAAAGAAAATCCATGCTAGACAGTAGTATTGGTCTCTGAGAAAAAGATGGAGGAATTTTTTACATGCTGTGGAGTCTGTTGGCTAGAACCATTCAACTTGCTTTGTTACTGTTACATTTTTACTGAAGCGCTAGGAAAGCTGGAGCTCACCCTCAAGTTTCCTCTTTCGTGCTCCACTGCTGAAGAAGTAATCCATGTTTACCAGAGCCCTGCCAAGTTCAGTATTCATTCGACTGCCAATAGTCTGGTTGGTAGAGTTGGGAACTTTGCTTGAGAACACAGATACATAGTTTGGCAGTGGCGTCTGCTCCTTTTTTTTACCCTGGGTAAGACAAAGATCGTTAATAAGTTTTCAGAATTACATCCATTTCTTGTTACAAAAATACAAGTTACTGAGATTATTTATAATATCAGCACTTTTGCTTTTGAAAGTAGAATTTGAATGTACTTTAAAATGTCATACTGAATGTACAGGAAAGTGTTGAAGAAATAAAGTAAAATGATTTTTTTTTTTTCCTGTCTTACATGGGAATAGGATAACACAGGAAAATGAATCATTTTCAAATGTGTTGTATAAAATGTCAGCTGGGACAGAAGTTTGCCTGCTCTAGAATGGTTGTGATGTGGGAGGTTTTTTGTTTCGTTTTTAGTAAGTGGCTTGGATTTCAGCACGATGACATTATCTTACAAATTTTCTCCTAGGAAGTTGGTTCTTCTAGCACTTGTCTTTCTGTGGAGTTGTTAATGCTGAAACAGATGGAACACACGCACGCACTGTATTTCTTTGTGGCGTAGGTAGCAGATGAAAGGCACTTCAGTTCTCTTTTATTTTTCCTAAAGATTTTAGTCTTAAAGCATTTGCCGATTATGCCTAAGTATGCTTCAATTTGAAATATTAGCCTAGCTCAAACTGACGATAACTAAAAAGAGCCAGGCTTACAGTTGAATGTTTGTTCAAAACTTACCATTTGGTCATAGTCCTTCAGGAAACTCCAGTTCTGGTACCTTGGAACAGAAGTAAAAAATACAGTGTAAAATCTTCTGTCTTTAAATAAAATAGTTAATGTTGGTTGCATGTTTAACTGCTCAGTTTAATACGTACAGCCAAGCTCTTACACCTGCAAACTCTTCGTACTGAAAACTGTGTTTTCTGTGGTGAAGCCCAGGGTTTTCTTTATTCCCATATACAGCCCATACTACATGAGGAGTGGGGTTTTTTTGCTAAAGGAAGATGAGGATAGCATGTCCACAATGTATTCCTTGTGCAAATGCAGATAAATTAGCAAAGTCCTGAGTCACTCTAGCAAACGTTTGTCCCATGCCTTGAGCAAGACACAGCTGCTTATTTTTTAAGTGACTGATATTCTGCTGGCAGAAGTCCCTGGTAGGAATTCCCAGAGCCGTATTTGCTGCAGGCAAACACCCACGGGAGTATTTTGTGCAGATAGGCAGCTGTGCTAGGAGCAAATCGAATCAGAAGACCTGAGTTTTGCTTTTCAGCTCTGCTCTGTACCTGGTGTGGGACTACAGGGCAAGTCCTTTGCTTTTCTGTCCTTTGCTTTCCCTGGCCTGAAATGGAGAAAATGAAAGTTCACCTGCTATTGTAAATGTACTGTGAGGTCAATAGAGGAAACAGTTATCTACAGCTGTATTTGCAGCAGGGCTCAAGGGACACCTGGGTTGACTCTCTGAGCTGGTTACCTGTGTCTACGCAGTGCTGCATCTAAGCTCATTCATCTAGTGCTGAAGCTGTACATCCTTCCGAGTTGAGCTTGTCTGTACAGCACAGCCGTGTACGATGTGGAGCTAGGAGCATTGGATTTCTGTGCTGCACTCCCCTGTGCAGTGCAGATATGCCCTAAGTGCAAGTAAAAGCTAATTTATGATTGTTGTATTTATCACTATATGTCTTGGTATACCAGCACAGCATAGAGGTCCTAAAATTTTTTGTCTTGCTATGCCAGCCACTATTTGAACATACCAGATTTGGGTGTTACTGGATGGTGCTAATTACTGAGAAATGCTTGGGTCTCAGATATTTACCTATATCCACTTCAAGTCAGACTATCAACACGTAGCAGCACTTTCCCCATCATTTTCTGGGGGGATGTGGAGCTGAAGGACAGTTCTCTGCAGGCTGTAGCATATGTAGTCTGATGAATCCAGCTTTAGGCATCTGTCCTTCACATGTCTGTCCTACCCTTTTACAAGAGTTTCTGTCTTCGTAGCTGAGACTGGAGAGCAGGACATGCATCAGCTGTGTGATGTGTTATCTTACGTACCCATGAAGGTGAGTTTGCACCAATATCCATGACTCTGAACCCCAGGGGGCAGGCACAGAGAGAGAGTCCCTCCTGCTGCCTTAGCTACGGAATGGGTATGGAACATGCTGGGCCCATTTGGG